TTGGGGGGTGGGAAAACGGAAAATTGGAGGATTGAAAAGTTTTTTGGTTTTTGGGAATGAAAATGAAAAGATCTTGGGGAGGGAAGGGTTTGAGTTTTGGGGATTAAAAGTTTGGATTTTGAGGTAAAAACTCGTGATTTTGAGGGTTAAAAAAAAAGTAATTTTGGGGATAAAAATCCTCCGGTTTTGAGGATAAAAACTCCAGGTTTTGGGGATGAAAGTCTTTTGATTTTGAGGTAAAAACTCCTCATTTTGGGGTAAAAACTTCTGATTTTGGGGATTAAAAGCCCTGATTTGGGGGATTTAAAAAAAATCCCAGTTTTGGAGATTAAATTCTCTGGTTTTGGGCATAAAAGGTCCCAGTTTTGGAGGTAAAAATCTCCTGATTTTGGAGTTAAAAACTGCCCATTTTGGGGATAAACCCTCCTGGTTTTGGGCATAAAAACTCCCGATTTTCGGGATTAAAAAGTTCCTGATTTTAGGGCTTAAATCCCCCAGTTTTGGGGATAAAAACTCCAAATTTTGGGGAACAACCTCCCCCATTTTAGGGTCCCCAACCGGAATTTGGGGGAAATTCTGGGGGGGGGGTTGGGGGGCTGGAGATCCCCCAACGATGAGGGGGGGTGGACACAGGGAAGACCCCCCCAAATTCTTCCCATGGGACCCCAAAACGTCCCCAATTCCCTCCTCGGGACCCCCAAAATCCTCCCCCAACAATCCCCCGCTCGCGCATCTCCCGTAGTTTGTCGCCTCTGGGCCACCATTCCCCATTCCCTCGCGCACTTCCGTTATTTTGTCCCATCACGGCCACCGTTACCCCGTTCTCTCGCGCATTTCCGTTATTTTGTCTCCTTTGGGCCACCGTTCCCTGTTCCCTCGCGCCCTTCAGTTATTTTTGTCCCCTCGCGGCCGCCGTAGCCCTCCCTCGCCCTCCCATTGGCCGCGCTGGGCGGCGCCAACCGGAAGCGGCTCCGTGAGGGAGGGAGCGCGCGGGCGGCGCCGCCATCTTGCTCCGGTAGCGTTTGTCGCGCCCGTCGCGATCCTCGGCGGCCCCGAGCTGGGCTCCGGGGCCGCCCCGCCATGGCCACCAACCTGGGCGACCAGCGAGAGTGGTGAGAGGGGCAACCGGGCGTCCGGGGGGAACCGAGCCGGGATCGTTTTTCCGACTCCCAACTCTGTCCGGTTCCGTTGCTCCCTCAGGGCCGCCCCGTTCGCTCTCGGTCCCGGTGGCGGTCCCGGTGCCGGCCCCGCGCGGGAGGAGCCACCGGCGCCTCCCGAGAACCCCGAGTGGGAGAAGGCCCGGCAGGCCCTGGCCAGTATCAGCAAAGCGGCGGCCGGGGGGGCC